TGCACTGGACGTATGTTAATGTTGTTGTTGATAAAAGTGTATGTTTTTATTAAAAATGTTTGTTAAAGTTTGTAGAAACATTTTGGAAAAGTGAAAAACATTTGTTTTAGAAACAAGTTTAAACATCTGAGAAATTGTAAAACAAGTTTTTGAAACAGGGTTTAAAACAAGTTGTAAAAACAAGTTTTAAAACAAGCTGTAAAAACATGTTTTGGAATCTTTTTTACAAATTGTAAAACAAGTTTGAAATAAAGTTTGTGGAATGTTTTTGAAAAAAGTTTTAAAACAAGTTGTAAAAATATGTTTTGAAAACAATTTCACAAATTGTAAAAACATTGTAAAACAAGTTTATTTTTTTAGGATTCAACTTCTGTTTCTCTATACAATCAATTTATGCTTCTCTCAACCGGAATATGCACTTCAGATGTAATACTTATAGGTGACCAACAAACAACACGTTTCGACGAACACAACAACATTAAAGAATCTGAACATTCCCAAACATTAAAAAAGAAAAGACATGATTCTCCAAAAACAAAACAATCCCAACATTTACAAACTTTATTAAATGTTCCTAATGCTAATGTTACGCTAGTTTTTAGTTCAGCTAAACAGGCGAGATTTTTCTTGTAAAACAGGCGGAATTTAATGTTTATTTTAAAGGCAGCAGAATTTATGAGTGCTCGTTTGCGTGATGAATTCATGGCTTCTGGGAGTACTTTAAAAAATGTTCATATAATGATTGGGGAGGCACACGATTTTTATTTGCGTGATCCAACAAATTTGGTACAATATGCAGGGACTGTTTCCTTCCAAGCAAAGGTGAAAAAATATTTTTTAATCAAAAAAAAATTTTTTTCCATTTTTAAAGGACCTAACAACATCAGAATTCCATAGTTGGATTCGTTCAATCACTCCACTCACTTTACCTGAGGTCTGGTATTGGCGTCATGTTGAAGAAAATTGGCAATGCGCCCTGTAAAAATTGATTTTTAATATTTTAAAAATTAAAAAAAAATTTGAAAAATTTTTTGAAGGTCTAAAAGCAACATAGAACGATTTAATGGACGCTTATGCACTGGGGAAGAATTGTTGGATGTGAACGGAATGGGCCGTCTCACCCGTGCAGGCTATTTGACTAGAGGAATTCAATTATTACTGGAAGCTATTGATACAACTTATAAAAAGTTGGAGCAAAAATTAATTCAAAAATTAATTTTTTTAATTTTAGATTATGCCCAAATGAAATAAAACCATTAATTTGTGATGAATTTAATAAAAATGGACGCAAATTAATTAGAAACACTTATGCCCAACTTGTTCAAAAAGAGCCGGTTGAATATGAAATTTACCAACTTGTCTCTAATGGAGATGAAAGTAAGTTTGTAATCATTAAAACTTGTTTTACAAAACAAGTTTGACTTAAAACTTGTTTTTATGAACGTTGGTTTGAAAATTTGTTTTTTAAACCTTTAAAACTTATTTAAGTTTGTAAAACTTGTTGTAATAATAAGTATGAGATAAAAAGTTGGAGAACAAGTTTAATTCATTTGTTTTTGTAAAACATTGTTCTTTTAACATTAAAAACTGGAATAATTTTTAAAACATGTTTTACAAATTTGTGAACATATTTTTATTTGACTAACACTTGAGTTTTGCATTATTTTCAGCCAAAATTTAATCAAATTTAAATAAAATTATTATTTTTTTATTTTTTAAAGATAATTTTGGTTACAAACTATTTGCAAATTATTCATCCTCCTCATCATCTTCCCATGAATCAGCAACTTCAGACCAATTTCATTTTATATCAGAATATCGACCTTTTGTTTCAAATTCTGAAGAAAACGGAGGAGGTGAAGAAGAATTACAATGGGTACCTCCAATTTTTTCAAGATGTCGTGCTCCTTTTTGTAAATGTCCTTCTACTAGAAGGTATGGCTTGTTGAAAAAATTTTTTTTTAATTTTTTTAAATTTTTCTTTTAAAGACAAGTTGATGACAATGACGACTCCGACACCACAACAACACACCATACTTACTCAAATCCTTATATTAGAAGAGAGCCTGCTAGGCCTACAATGTTAAGTGGAAATGATGAGGAATTATTGCTAGTATATGATGGAACTAATTTCCCTGTAATTTTTTTAAATTTAAAAATTTCAAAAAAAAATTTTCAGGAAATTTCCCAATTAAACGAATTTTCAATGTCTCAAGAATTAAACGAAGCTCTAAGAATTGTATTTTTTGTGTTGAGTGGAATACTTTGTGTTTTAGCAATTGCAACATTGTTGCTAATTTTATTTAAAATGTATCAGAGAACAATAAAAGGACATCAATCGCTTGGAATTTTATTGCTAATTGGAATATGTTCGTTATATGCTACAGGGTTTTTGTTTGCTAGTACACCTAGTAATTTGGTAAGTTTATTGATGTTTTACAATAGATTTGTAAAAAATGTTTTTAAAAACAAGTTGCAAAATAAAGTTTTGTAAAACTAATTGTAAAAACAAGTTCTAAACAAGTGTGAAAATGTTTCTTAAAAACATGTTTGAAAAATAAACTTTGATTACAACCTGAAAACAAGTTCTAATCTGTGTTTTACAATTTGTAAAAAGTTTATAAATTTATAAATTAAAGGTTTTGAAAACATTTTGTAAAAACAATGTTTTGAAAATTAAAACTTAATTGTAAAAACAACTTAAAACTTGAAAAACACAAATTGTAAAAACAAAGTTTATTTTTTTTTCTCTATAACACAAACACAGATTTGTCATCTTCGAATCTCTGCACACTCTCTCGCCCATACACTATGTTTTGGTGTAATTATTGTCAAAGCAATACAATTAAAAAATGCTGAAACATTAGCAACTTCCTCAAAACAACATACTATTAGTTATTGGAATTATTGGCTTCTTTTAGCATTTATTTTTGCTGTTCAATTTGTTATTTGTATGAAATGGTTTTTAATTGAGCCATTAGAATATATTATTGGGGCAAAACAACAAAATTTTCAACTATTTTCACAACAAAATTTGGAAGCACAAAAACAACACCCTCTAATATTATTATGTTCGTATTCATCACCTAACTTTTTACTTGCACAAATCTACACGTTTTTCCTTCTACTCTTAGCTCTTTTATTAAGTTCAAAAAATAGAAGCATTAAGCGAAACTATAAAGAAGCAAAATGGTTGTTTATTACATCGCTGAGGTAAGGGAAAGTTTAAACAAACATGTTTAGAAAGAAATAGTAAAACAAGTTGAAAAAATAAATTGGAAAAATAAGTTTTGTAAAACATGTTGTGAAACAGGTTTTAGAAATAAGTTTAATTAAATTCTAAGACATGTTGGGAACAAATTTTAAAAACATGTTTAGACAACTAGTGTAAAAAAAAGTTTAGAAACAAGTTTTACAGTAAAATTTGAAGTACAAATTGTAAAACATGGGAGAAATAATTCATAAACAAGTTTGTAAAAATAGGAAAAAAACATTCTAGAAAACAAGTTTTACAAATATGTTGAAAAACAAGTTTTAAAAAAAGTTTAGAAACAAGTTTTATTCAATTACAAATTGTAAAACATGTTTGACTATGTTTTTAAAGTTTTTCTTTTTTAAGTTGCACTATAATTCTATGTTTGTGGGCAGTAAGTCATGTTTTGATCAGCCCTGTTTATTTGGATTTTACAACTGTTATTGAATTACAACTAACTGCAACATTATTGTTAATATTTATATTTGGCCCAAAACTTTATGTTCTTCTCTTTTATGAACCTGTTGTTGTTGAATGTTTTTATGGTGGGAGTGGTTCAAGTTTAAATAGAAACAGTAAAACAACAAACATTACCTCTACTTGTAGTGATCTTTTTGAAACTAGTGGTTTAGAATGGAATCAACACTCTTCTGTGTCACCAACACTTAGCACAACAACAAGCAACGCCGAAAGAAGCAGTAGCGATGATAGGGAAAGAGAAACAATTGTACACAACAACGATGAAAAGGTGTGTTTTTAAAAACAAAGGGAAAAACATGTAAAAACAAAGTTGGGAAAGAAACAAGTTTTAAAACAAGTTGGAAAAAATGACTAAAAACATGCTGGTAAAAAGTTGTAAAAATAAGTTCTACAAAACAAGTTTTAAAAATAAAGTGGAAAAACATGTTTTGGAACTGAAGGGACAAAGTTTGCAAAACATGTTTTAAAAACATGTTTAAAATTTGCAAAACATGTTTTAATAACATTAAACAAACTTGTTTTTAATTTTAATGTTTTTGTTTTAAAGGCTTTCCAAACAATTTTGCGTAAGAAAAACAATTCCAACAAAATTGTTCAAAACAACAAAAACAACAAAACATTAGAAACAACAGGAAAAATGCTCAATAAAAACACAACATCAACTACAACAACAAAATAAAAACAAAAACAACAACATACCCAGTGAAAGAAAAAGAAAATATTATATAAAAAGAAGAGAGACATAATAGAAGCATAAATTTAATAAATTATTTAACTAATGATTATTTTTTTAATTTCATTAATTTTTTCAAAAAATTTTTTTTTTGCGTATAAAAATTTAAGAAAAAAAATTTTGAATTAAAAAAATTTATTTATATTTTTAATTAAATTATCTCTTTAGCTTTCTGCTTGTTTAGACTCTTGTGTTCTTGTTTGTTTTATATATTGTTCTTTAAAAACAAGGAAAAACAAATGTTGTAAAACAAGTTTTGTAAAGCATGTTTCCCAAACATGTTTGTGTTTGTTTATTTTTTAATTTAGTACCTAAAAATCAAAAATGACATTTTATCCCACTTTGTTTGGCGTAATGTAAAATTATTTTTTCAGTACGGAACACTTGAGTCTAACTTTTATTTTTCTTATCTTTACGTGCTATTATTTTTTTATCTTTTTTAAAACCTGCAAATTTATTTCTAATTTTTTAAAGCTTTAACTCTCTACCTTAATTTGAATTTCTATTTAATTTTTCAGAATTTTATTGCTTAAAATGCGTTCTCATCCACTTGAAGTTCAATTTGATGTTTTAAAATGTCTTAATTTTGACCAATTATTCTCTTTTAAACAAACCAACTTTTATTTTCTCAATTTAATTAATAAATATGAGGGAGGATTGGCACGAAAGAATTTCTTCCAACTCGAATTGGTGAATAATAACTCAATTTTTTAATGTATAAATTGATTTTAGATTGACGCCAAAACTATCGATAGTCAAAAGTTGGATTCCCATGTATTTATTAAACTTGAACCTGTAATTTCTGCATTTATTTTGAATGATCAACTTATGAATAAGGTTAAATTAATTTTTAATTTCGATTAGATTCCTTTGCTTTTTTTCAGTGGAAAGCATCGTTAGATAAATCTATTACGTTGTATCTACATGGGCTTGAAGATAGTTCTGATGACAATACTAAAGACTTTGCTGTTCAGTTGGAGAAAAAAGGTTTTAACATAAAATAGGGTTGGTTCAGACCTTTTTCTTTGTATTTTCTGCCTGTCTTTTAAGTTTCTTCCTTGTGGGAACACATTTAGCCCCAGTGTACATAATGGTCAGCCTTTTCATAAAAGGAACATTCTACCACCGCCGCTCCTATTTGCAATAGTTTACCTTATAAAAGAAATGAAAAAATGTTAAGAAAATATAAAGAAAAAATGGGGGAAGGTCTAACCAAACTATTGCCAAAAATAGGCGAAAAGTTTATTTAACTCATTATCCTTTGGAATTTAACTCCTATCCTCTGGAATTCAACCAGATATAGGTAAATTATTTTTTGTATTCCCTCTCTAATTGCATACCTATACCTGTAATACATACCTATATTCTTGTTATATCTTTATCATCTTAATCTATTTAGAATGCAAAAACCCCAATTATATTCTGAAATTGCCAAACATTCCAAAAACTATCGAAGAAATGGTTATTGTTCGATGTTGGTTAGAACAACTTTTCAATTGTGCTTTTGAAAGTGCCGTGTTTCAAAATATTATTTTCAACCCAGAAATGCTCAATTTATTATTTGATAATGAACAATTTCACGTTCAAAAAATAGCTATAGGCACTAGCAATATCACGCTTGGAAATTTTGTGAACTTTGGTTTAAATCGTTTCGCAATTTCTGATATTTTTGCCCTTGGTGATCCCGACATTTCAGAGCAACACACTGATATTTTATTCAATATTATAAAAAATGAAGGCAAAAAATTACCTCAAACTTCTCTTGGTATTTTTAATAAGTTTTCAAGGCTTTATAATCTTGTTATTGAGGTAAGGGTTATCTATTTGAAAGTTTAGAATAAATTTAATTTTTAGTATATAACAACATCTAAAGACATTTCAAAAATGGTGCCTTCTATTGGCTTAGTTTATGAATCACTAGAAAATTGTAAATTGCCTAAGAAAGCAAAAATTATTAAAACTAATGGAGATTTTACAAAATACGAAATTGTCAATATTTATAATCCAAAATTGAAATTTTTAGTTTGGTTTGATAAACTTAGGACAGTTTTTTATGTTAATATCAAAAAAATGGAAGAGTAGAATTTGAGAGAGTATTTTTTTATTTATTTTAATTTATTTGACAACAAAATATTTGTTTTCAATTTAAATAAAAATTTTTTTTGATTATTTATTCGAACATTTTTAGCAGTTTAAAACCTGCAAATTTATTTTTAAATAAAGTTTTATGTTTAAAATAGTTAAGTTAGTTTCCCGGATGTGTTGAAAAACAAATAAAAGCATGTTTTGTAAAAACTTATGTTTTTGGTTTGTTTAGAAAAGAAAATGACGTTTTATCCCATTTGTTTGGCATAATGTAAAATAATTTTTATTTCAGTACGGAACACTTGAGTCTAACTTTTATATTTTTTAGTTTTCAGACTCTATCTTCTATTTACTCAAATTTCTTCATTTTTTTTCTTTTATGGCATTTCTCTCCCATTTCTCTTCCGTTGTTACATTTTCTTTCGTTATTTTACACTTTTACCTTTTCATCTTGTAAAGAGGTAGATGATCGCTCTTTTTAATTAATCCACATTTCATGTTTTTATAGATTTTTTGTTGATTTTTTTAGTTTTTAAGAATTATTATGCAACAATCTCAAGAGCCATGTAGTGCTTCAAATGACTTGACTCAACAACAAATTAAACCATCTTGGAGGCGGTTTACAAACCCAAATAATCCTGACCCTAAATTTGCAGTTTTTCGAGTTTTTGGAATTTGTGAAGAGTTTCCTCAGGTATACAGGATTTTTTTAAAGTTTGGGAAATAGCTTGGGGATTGGTTTGGGAATCTAATTAAATTAACTAAAAGTCTGTGTAATAGTTGTGGACCAAACTTTTGCAAATTTACGGGGTTTATTAGAATTCAGGATCGATTTGGTTTTGTTAGGGCAGTTTGGTATAGTGGTATTTGTGATTTTGATAGGTCGCAGGTTCGAACCCGGCCAGCGGCCTTTTAATTTTTATTTTTAAAAACCTGACTTTTAACAAGTTCCAAATGTATTTATAAGTGTTTAGAAGGTTAATTTAATTGTTTCAAGTCAATTTGCTGTATTAATAAACATCCGTATTTGTCACTTGATAGGTCGTGGGTTCGAGCCATGCTGGTGGATTTTCAGATTCAAAATGGCCTTTAACTAGCCCCTAAGTTTTAATAATTGTACAGCTGTTCTGTTTATTTTTAAATTTATTTACAAAGCTGATTTGGTATAAATCTTATATTTTTTAGTTCAACGTCACCACTGTTCAAGACCCTCGTCGACCTCCTGACCCGCGAAAAATTGTGAAACTTTCGACCTGTGACCTGCCTGTTCCTGAGTTTATGGTTTTTTAAATAATTTTTTAGAATTGGAGTAATTTTAATTTTTAGCTCGATGACGAATATTGCGCTATCCCCCCTAGACGGGAAGTAGCATTGGTTGGGCTAAATGACAATATTGACGACAAATTTCTTTTGCAGCTTTGCAAGTATATTTTTTAAAATTCTTTTTGCAATACTTCCCCTTTTGCAAAATTAGGTATTAGAGTCGATGATTTTAGAGAAAGACCTACCTTAAGGCTAAAAAAATCCTAGGATTCATTTTATGAATCATTCAATTTTCAAAAAAATTTTTGGTCATTGCTATGCCTAATGAATCAGAGTTGTAGTCACTTTGGGAAACTGTTTTCGGATTTCAGTCTTCGGATTCGGATCCGCCAACGCTAATGGTCTATTGAATACCGGACTAATATATCTCTAGAATCCATCCCTGATTTCCCGTGTAATGTCTCTTCTGGCTGGCAATAAGGCTGCTGTTATTTAATTCACCCGGTATTTTTTTCAAATATTTTAATTTTAAAAGGAAACTGACGCATTCATCGACTACAAATCTCTCAACACCTTCAAACGATGGAGAGGGAACTACTTCATTATCAACTTCCTATGTTTCAACTGTTGGCATTACACCTCTTCAAATTAAAATTTTGCGTCATCCAACAACTGGAAGCCATTTGGGAATGGCATTAATTGACTTTTATAGTTGCAGAGATGGAAAGGTTTTTTTTTTAATTTTTTTTGAACTGTCTTTGTATTCCTGTCTTTTGTGGATCATATTTTGTAATGTCTGGACCAGTTATTAACCGAAAATTTTGAAAATTCGGTCGTTACTCTATTAATAGTTGCCTTCACATTTCCTTTTATTTTTTGTGAAAAGAAATTTTTTAATAATTTAGTCATTTATTTTTTATTTTTATAGCTTTTCATTTTACGTCATCATGGCCGTCCAATGATGGGAAGAGAAGTTCAATGTTTCTTTGACCCTTTTGGTATTTTTTTTAATTTTTAAAATATTTTCTAAAAAATATCAAGTTTATAAACTTGGAGAACTCTACAAATTACGTGTTGGCGAAGAATTGGAACTCCCTGAGCGTTATAGATTTATTTTCAATGAAAAAACTATTCAACATATTCGTGCACTTTTAGCGCAAAAATACAAGGATGAAGATGGTGATGTATTGAAAAAGACTTGGACAAATTTGGGTATTTATTTTTCTGATTAAAAAATTTTTTGGGGGAAAATTCCGTTGTAAGTTCACTTTTGGTTCGAGTACTCAGTTGTACACATGCATAGTAATACTGGGTATTCCTGCCGAATTTATAAATCGGGATACAAGAGAGGGAAATACACAAGTCAAGGGCTTATTGATAGAATCTTGTCTTTTTCAAAAAAAAATTAAATTTTTTTAAGAAAATGGTGTCTCCTCAAAGGACAAAACTACATCAAATAAAAAATCTGGCAATAATAATGCTACTTCACCATTAAAAAATTCAAAACAACGCGAGGTTTTTTAACTTTAAAAAAATTTTTTTATCCTTTTAACATTTTTTAAGCATCGACGTAGTATTAAAGAGGATTTGAAGAAAACACCAATAGCTTCTACACAAGATGCTCCTCCTTTGCAAGTTGTACCAAAAAATGATGTTTCTGAAGCTTCATCTGTTGTTGTGGATGCAAAAGGTTTTTGTTGTTTACTTTTTAAAATTTTTCCTGTTTCAGAGGGGAGCTATAGCCCGGAAACCCCCTGTTACGCCCTTGCATTAGATTATTTCTTTTATTAGAGGGTTAAAAGGTCTTATATATCCCTAACCCCTTTTTACAGGAGCTAGTCGGCGTTGGGCCCCAAGAGTGGTAACCCACCCTTGGGGCGCGCCGATCCACCTATTAAAAACGAAGGCCTTCTTTTTAACTTTTTATTCAACAAATATATTAATAAATAAAAGGGAGAGAGGACAGGCCAACTTTTGATCGGGCCCAAAACTAATTAATGAGTGAATAAGTTAATTTGGCCTATTCTCTCTCGCCTTTTATGAGGCGCTAAAATGGGCGTTTCATAAACTTAACTATGACATTCTATACGCGGGGGTGGGGGATACAACAGAAAAAGCGGATAAATAAAAGTGCGGAAAATGTGAAGTGAAATTCTGTTTTCTTTATCTGAGTGTCGTTTCTTTCTTGTCCAATGTGCTTCTAAATATTTTGTCAATTCTTCGCTTCAATTCTTTTAAAAATCAAATCTATCCCGCGCTAAACGTAATTTCAATTCAACAATTTCCTGCACTTGTATGTATTAGATCAAGAAAATTTTGGCAAAAACGGAAAAAAATTATGTATATGTCAACAGAGCGCCAATCCAAGAAAATGTCAAACAATAAACGCCAAAATCCACTTTCTCTTCCTCTCCTGGGGGGTCAGCAAATAAGTTTATTTCGAAAAATGAATCCCGTCGCCAAATGTTTTTTTTAATACTCCTGAAAATCTGTTCCGTCCGTGGGCCAGTTCTGATATCCTTGATCCTGACAATATTCCTCACCCCAGTTCTCATTACTCCCAAGTGGAAACCATTGGCCTTCTTCATCGTCATAATTTTGGTCATTGTCATAGTATTGGTCAAAATTTGGGTCCATTTGTTCATCACCCCAATTTTTATCAGTCTCTTCCCAATTCTCACTACATCCGTTTGGCTCCTTGAATTGTTCCTCATAGTAATATTGGTCATAGTTTTGGTATGAATCCCTGACTTCATTAACCTCCGCTAGCGCCGCCTTAACTTCTATTTTCTCCAGTCTTTTCCTTGTCTCATCTTTAATTGTCCGATTTAATTCATCAACCCTTTTTGCTTGCGCTATTGCTTCTGCCAATGAAGAGGGCGCTTTCATAAAAATAATCTTTTCCCTAAGTTCTGGTAATAGTCCGGCTTTAAATCTCTCCATGCATATCTCCTCTTTAAACCTTTTGACCATTTTTTCATTTTCCCCCTTCAACCCTGTCCTTTGTTCGTCATTTAATTTAATTGAAGCAAGGTCAATTCCAAACGCATTCTCAGGATAAGCTGCTTCCATTAGATTCATTAAATCCCTTGCAAATTCTTCTAATCCTTCGCCCATCTCCTGTCTCCTTTCCACCAATTTTTTGCGTGCGCTTTCCTTATTTGATATCTTTTTTAGCCTCCCTGCCAAGCTTTCTACAAGCGTCTTCCACCGCGATTTTTGATCCCCGGGCATTGATTCGTAAATCGCAAGTGCAGACCCTTGTAGATAAAGCGGTAAAATCTGCGTGCATCTCGCGGGAGTCCAATTGTGTGCAGTTGCAATCCGGTTGAAAGTCCTTAGATAGCTCAAAAAATCTCCATTTCCGTCAAAGAAGGTAGGGTATGGAAGTCCACTTGAGCTCGTACCAATAGTATTATCCCCTTTATCCTTTGTATTGTCCCCTTCCAATCCTGAAATATCCTCTTCTTTCATCATAAGCTTCTATTAATTCTTTAGTCAGTCTTTGTCCGGACTTGATTTTATTATTTTTTTTCCAATTTTATTTCAATGCTCGACTTTTCCTAACACTTCAAATAATATCTCCTCTTTTAGCTTTTTTGCCCACAAACGGGAACCAGAAGCGATACTGCAGTTATACACTCCTGATCTGTTAGGAAAATGATTCGAGCTTTTATTTCTCAATTAATTTACTCCACGTGCACGTTTTTTAAGCTTTTATTCCAAGACTGGCTATAAAATTCTACTAGAGGCCTGTTTCAAGAGATTATATCCAGAATTTTCCAAAATCCGCGAATAAGTGTCCTTTATCCTTCCAACCTTTATCCTTCTCTCACTTCAAATGCTTCAGACTTAACAATCAACTCCAAACTAAAACTTTTAGCTCCAATTGAACTCCTTCGCTTTAGCCTTTTTCCCTCTTCTCCTTATCGGTAATATCCTCAGAATATCCTTTGTGTTTATTTTCCTTATGCTCCGTTTGTTCCCTCCGTGTATCCTTTGAATGAATCCGTCTGTGTGAGAAATCCTTATGTATCCTTGATGAATCCGCGTGTATCCTTTGATCAAATCCGTGTATGAAAATTTCCTTCGCTCCTTTTCGGCTCTTTAGTAATCAAATGTGAGCCAAATTGACTGAATAAAACTCCTTTTTATATTAACTTCTCCCTTTACTTTGGCTACGCCCAAAACTTGTTCGCGCAAAATTTTTTGTTGTAATGTCACAAGAAATAGTTGTAATTCTTGTGATAAAAAATTTTGGCGTTCCCAAATTCCTCCTTATTTGCCCACTTCCGGCCTATTTGCGCGTTGCTGCAAAAGAAGGAGTCCAAAAAAACTAGTTTAATAAATAAGAATTTTTTTCCGCTCGCCAAAATTAATTTGATTAATGGGTAGAAGAATTAATTTTTTTAAATAAATATTTTAAGAATATTTTTAGAAATATTTTTTTTGGGTGGAGTAGGGATTTTTCCATTAGGTGGAGAAAATTACAGGAGCGCCATCTTATATATCCCTAACCCCTTTTTACAGGAGCTAGTCGGCGTTGGGCCCCAAGAGTGGTAACCCACCCTTGGGGCGCGCCGATCCACCTATTAAAAACGAAGGCCTTCTTTTTAACTTTTTATTCAACAAATATATTAATAAATAAAAGGGAGAGAGGACAGGCCAACTTTTGATCGGGCCCAAAACTAATTAATGAGTGAATAAGTTAATTTGGCCTATTCTCTCTCGCCTTTTATGAGGCGCTAAAATGGGCGTTTCATAAACTTAACTATGACAAAAGGATTAAAAAATATTTTTAAAGGTGATGATGGCCAGAAGCATTCTGAAGAACGGTTAAACTTTACTCCGATTACTTTGAGGTTTGTCAAATCTTTCAACTTATGCCGGCTAAATGATTTTAAAAAATTTATTTTTGAAATTTTATTTTTTTTTTATTACAGTAACAACGTTTCTCTAAACGTTATAAATTCAACTCCAACAACGACAACAGCTGTTACACCGACTACACCGACAAAATTTTCTTTTGATTCTATAAGATGTTTACATCAACAACAACATTTGTCGCCACCTTCTTCATCTTCAACTAGTCTTTCAACATTTCTTCCACCAATTGCCTTAGTTACTCCAAAGAAAACTGCAGACAATAAAATTGTGATTTTAGAACATGAACCTCATTTACTAGTTGAAAATATTTCACAAAATAATTCTTCTATTGGAGATTGTGAACAAAAGGAACAACAACAACATGAGGTTTTTTGAATTATTTTTATTTCTTTTTAGATTTTCTTTTTTTGATATTCTCTAGTATTAGGCATATCGTAAATGTTCCAATATAAGCCCTGGGCATCTATTTTTTAATGGGTCCCATTGGGTGGGCTTCTATAAGGGCATGGGCGTTTATTCTTCGCTGTCACTTTTTCTAGAAATCGGTAGACTTCTACTTGAAGTCTACCGGAGAAAATTTAGAAATCTCGGAATACTGACCTTTTTCTTAATCCGTGGCATTTCTGATGGATTAGTTTGTGTTTTTTGCCTTTTTTTATTTTTGAGGTTATATTTTTATAACTTTTCATTTGAAGATATCACCCCCACAACTTTCTTCGCCTACACCTCCTCAACAACGATCACTTGAATCTAGATTAGCTGCACTTTTAACTCGTCGCTCAAATAATAATTTATCTACTTCATGTACAAAACTTTGTTCTTCAAGTAATGAAGATATTGAAGCATCTTGTGTTGCTGCTACAACAACAATTGATGTGGAGAAAGATAATGACAATAATAATAATAATAAATCTCCAAATAAATCTGTTGAATCTGCAGCAACTTTTAAGGTTTTTTTCTGGTTTTTTACAAATTCTACATTTTTTGAAATTCTGAGTTTTTTGAAATTTCTGATACAATTTTCCTTTTAATTTATTAATGTAACTAATTTTTATAGTCTCCTTCTTCTGACACTGCAAATGCTTCCTCATCTTCCACATCTTCGTCTTCTACTCAATGTGCAAATCATCATACTATATCTCAAAGCAATAACTTGAATAAGGTTTTTTATATTTTTTTTTGGATTTTTAAAAATATTTTTTAGACAATCAGCGATCCTTCCTGTTCTTTTGGTAATGGTGAACAACTCCAAAATGATGAAGAATTTTGTAAAAATGGATTTGATAAATGGAAGGATGTAAAATCTACTACTTGGAATCAACGAGACGATGAAAGGTGGAGGGATCAACGCCAAAGGAATTTTTATCAGCGAGATAAGGTTTGTTCGGTTATACTCTTATTTGGGGGGATGATTTTTGGAGATGGTCTCTGTTAGAGATGATTTTTCTTGGTTCCGGCCGTGGCCGCCTTCTTTTGGTATTCTCGCTCTATGCCACCTTCACTATTTTTACTGATATTTTATTAGGGGGATGACTAGGCTTATTTAATAATAAGGTCGAAGGAAGTCATGGGTGTTAGGTTAACCGATCCATCCTTGGTCCCCATTCAATTATTAAAAAATATTGACACAAGTTTTACAATCATTCTTCCTTATTTTTTAATTTTTAGGATAGAAATTATCCAGATCACCGTAGATCTCATCCAACAATATACAACAATCAACAACGTCAACGTTATGGAAATTATCATCAACAAAATAATAATTATAACAACAATTATCATCACAATCAAAATCGTTTTCAACAACAACGAAACTGTGGTGGAAGATTTCATTATTCAAATCAATTTAATCAAAATGGCAATAATCATCGTCAACATACTGGACCTAGAGGTCAACCACCTCCTCCTCAACCTTTATTTGATCGAAGGTAAATTTTATTTTTTTTTTGTTTTGTATGATTTTTGGGGGCCTAGAGGATCAGGTTGTTACAATGTTTTATTCATGAAACTCTTAAGAATTTTTTAAAGATACGATTTACCACACCTAAGAAAAATCAAAAAGTCATGATTTTTATGAATCGGATTTGATTTTATTTTTATGATTTTTTTTTGATTTTGTGTTTGTCTTGTTTTTTTCTAGCCCAGGGATACGAAGCTAATTCTTTCCTTTTTAATTAATTTAAATTTTCTAATTTATAAATTTTAAAGAATTAATGGACGTTTTATGACTCCTCCAATACGTCCTCTACCAGAGACTAATTTGGCATTTGCTTCTTCCCATGTATATGGAACTAATAATCAAATGGGATATCCTAGACGAAGGACTATGGAAAGGGTATTTTTTGAATTTTTTCAGACGTTTTTGAATAATTCTTTTTAAAGGACAAATTTTCTATAACTCTACAATATACAATAAATGCGTTGACTTCAATGCTTTCTCTGGCTGTTAAACAAGATATTGACCGACGAGTGGAAACTGAAGCATTAAAAATTTTGGATAAAATTTTTGAAGAGCGATTGGAGGTCTTGTTAGATTTTTTAGAATTTTTTTGTATTATTTAATGAGGAATAATTTACGGGGACGAGTCAGGTTGGGAGATGAGACACATACCAGGGATATCCGAAGTTCGGAACCCGATGTGAAAAATTTGTTGAAAACTCGATTTGAACTCGATTTGTCATTTTTCTCAACCCGCCCCATCCTCGATCTACACCGAATAACTTGAAAATTTCGGAGCTTTCCTATGCCATTTAACCATATATTTTTATTTATAGAAAGCAAAGAAAAGACAACAACTTGCTGATGAAAATGAAAATTTACAAGATTCTCAACAAACTTCTTTGAATATTGACCAAGGTGATGGACAACAACAAAAACGGTTGGCATTACAAACAATTAGAAATGGAGGAAATTTGTTGGATCAATTGTTTAGTTTCAATAGTGTTGGAAATGGTGAAAAAGGTTTGGATGTCTTTTGAAATATTTTTAAAAATTTGTCCGAAATATTTTTTCGATTTTTTACCTCGCTTTAGGCAATCTATAATTTAAAATTTTTTGGTTTCTTAAAAAATTTTTTTAACAGGTTATAATGCATCAACACTTATTTTCAATTTGGATCAAAAGACTGGCCTATTTGGAATTTCTCATTCTGCAAGAATTACTTCTTTGCCTAAAATTCGAAGGGTTTGTTTTTTAATTTTTTTAGTTAGAAAATTTTTTCTTTCTTTAGAAACCTAAATTTCCATCTCCAGAACCAATTTTACAAAAAACAGCAACAACAACAAATCGCAAAAGATCAACAACTGCACAATGTCTCGATGAAAAAGACAAATTTGGCGGACCAAAACGAAAACATTTACGTTTGGATGATGAAGATGAGGAGGAAGAAAAAGTCGTCAAAGCTAGAAGAGCTAGAACGTAAGAAAATTTTTTATAAGAAAAATTTTTTGTTTTGAAAAATTGTTAACATTTCCGCTTTGAGACACTACTGTCCCTTCTTTTGAAGATAATAATTTTCAAAATATCTAAAGATCAAAGCATTTTCTAAAATTTTCAGTACCAGTATTTGTTCTGAATCTGTAAAGTCTTCACGTTCATCATCAAATGCTTCTACTGCTTCTTCTTCCCGTTCTGCTTCTCCAACAGCAACATCTTCAACAAGTGGTGATTCATCAGATGAAGAAGAGGAGGAAGACGTTTCTCAACAAACATCAACAATTGTATCTGAAACAGAAGGGGAAGAAAATGAAGAAAATATTTTGAAAATGAAGATGGAGGTTGATGGAGGTGATATTATTGATGACAAATTGCCTGCTTCTGAGAAAATTGAATGGTTTGTTCTTTTTTTATTTTTTTTTGTGAATATGAAGATCCTTCAAAAAACGAAAAAAAGTTTTTCCAAGAATTTTTAGAAAATTTTTTTGTAAATTTTTCTTTGTGTGAGTCTGTATGACACTATAAAAGGACGGCTTTGTCATTTACAATTATTATTTCTTGTGTTTTTATTCTCCCAGTGTATTTAAAGAAGCTTGCTTCTTTTTGAATCTTTTCTTCATATAATTTAGGTAGACTGAGTTTTTAGAAAATTTCTAACTTTCGAGCTTCATATTTTATTTAATTTTTTATTTTTTTTGTCCCGAATTCTTTTTCAAAATTTTTATTTTTCAAGTTTCTGTTAATAATGTTTTTATTATTTTTTTAAGGTCTGAGAGATTGAAGACACTAAAACCATCAACAGCAACTACAAAAACAACGTCTCTCGACTTGGACTTGGAAATTTTGCCGCCACCATTATTATTAGTAGAAAATCAATCTGAGACTATGAAGAATAAAAACAACAACAACAAAAATATTGTTGAAACTGGTGGATGTGCAAGATTTATTGTATATGATAAAAAAATGAAATCTAAGGAAGCAGATAAAAAAAGGTTTGTATTTTTTTAGAGTTTATAAAGTTTTTTGATTGTTAAAAATATACAGTCGAATCTCTTCTTTTGTTTACCCATACCAATTTATGGGGGTTTTTTGAATTTATTACACCTCGTTTTGGTGTACTCTCTTTTTCAGCTTTAAGGTATATAGGAACCACTAGACTGGGAACTGTTCAATGTTATGATGACTTTTAGGCTTTATATTGACATAATTGGCCTTATTAATGTTGATATATAACTTTTTTTAAATTACTTCCTTTTCAGTAAACCACCACTTCCATCTAAAAATTCGTCAGTTCAACTTGTTTCCATTCCACTACCTTCTATCAAACTAAAAGAAGAAGAACAACAACAAGATGTATCAGAAGAATCTCCTTTGTCTACAACAGCTATTACTATTAAAAGTCCAACAACAGCAGATAAAAAATCATCATCTTCACCAACAAAAAAGAAGAAAAAGTTTGTAGAAATTTTTTTTATTTTAATCAAGCCTTGCTGTAAGATACTCCCTCAATATTCGATACACATCTCTGTTAAAGATTCGGTTTAGAGATACTCTTCTATTTAGCATACACTCAATATAAGTTCGATTTTTTCAGACTTAAGAGGGTGTCTTATAGTTATGTTTTGATTAAAAGTTTCTATAATTCAAATAATTTTTTCTTTTAAAGACATTTTCATCTCTGTGGAGATTATGCAGAATGGCCTAGTACAACAGCCGTTAGCCGTTTACAAAATTCTTTTCCACTTTCTACTAAAAACTGGTCTAAACGTTCAGCTGATGAAGAACAAGAAGCAATCTTTTCTTTTGAAAAGGTAATCTTGGAAATCTTGAATAAAAATTTTCCTGTAAAAATTTTTTTCTTTTGTAGGAAGGTTTAGCTTTAGAAGAAGTTGCTTATTTACGAATGGTTGTTGAATTGTTGGGAGATGATTTTATCCTTGAAAATAAAATTTGTGAAAGTGTCAAAAACAACATTTTTCGTCATCAACATGGTTTCCCACTTCTTAAATGGGTTGAACCTGAAGATGCTGTTGAAGTTGACCCTCCTATGGTTTTTTAAAAATTTTTTAAATTCATTTAATACAAATTTTTTTCAGCCCACTTATTGGCAAAATTCTTCCAAATCTTCAAATAATCACAACAATAAAATTTATTTTTACAACGATGTTGAATTAGATGGAGTAATTCCAAATTTAAGTGGTTGTGCTCGTACTGAAGGAAATTATATACGTAAAAAGGATAGACAGAAAATGGTTAGTTTATTTTTTAATAAATTAATTTAAATTTGGATTTTGTGTTGTTTGTGTATTTCTGATTTTTATTTAAAATTTGATTTTTAATTTGTTTTTGTGTGTCTTATTTTTTCCATTTTTGACTAGAAGGAATTCTGATTTTGTTGTATTCTATTTTCGTGTTTCTGAAAAGAACTGATTTTGAATTCTGATCTTTTTAATGTTCTGATTTCTTGTGTTTTTGTATTTCTGGGAGAATGCTCTGATTTCGATTCTCTGATTTTATTTGTTTGTTTGTGTTTTTGTTTTGTATTTTTATAATTTTTATTTCTGATTTTTAAATTTTGAAATTCTTTTTTTTATTTTTCGGTTGATATTAGTCATTCTGATTTCTATTTTTTGTTTTGTGTTTTATTTAAAATTCTGATTTTTATTTAATTTCTCTAAATTTCTATTTTAAAGGAACAATTAAAAACTGGTGCACCAAGACATACATTAATGCGTCGAGCAACAACAACTGCAACTATTCCACAAATAAACAACGAACCACATTTATTAAAAACTACAATAAGCACTCAAGTATTAAATTTTTTTTAATTTTTGAAAATTTTTTTCAATTTTTTATGATGAAATAATTGCACGACATGTTAGTCAAGCATTGAAAAGTGAAAGAGCAATAAGTAATTTTTTAAATTTTTGTAAAGAATTTTTGTTTATGGGATACAAGAAAATTATTTTTTAGGACAACCCTTTAAAAAAATTTTTCTAATTTGGTTCTAGTTTGAGACATGCCTCGTTTGAGGTGATACGCTTCAATAAATAAAAATTTTTGGGACATTTTTGGAAGCATGACTCTAAGGGATGCATTCCTTAACCATCATCAGAAAATTTTTAATTTCTGATTTTAATTTGTAAAAAATTTTCAGTTCGTTCAATAGGCAATTCATTATTCTCAACATCATCATTTTCTTCTTCAAATAATTCTAATAATAATAATATTACTACCAACAAAAATAATTCACAGCAACAAGATAATACTAATTCAAATTTGGTTTATGAAGCTACTACTTCAAGTTCAACAAATAATAATGTTGTATCAACATCTAATTTTGCTAGTTCTTTACGTGGAAATCAATTGAAGGTTAAACTTTTTAATTTTTTTTTGGGGTTTTTGTTTTTTGTGTTTTTTCTTTTTTTTTTGCTTTGGTTTTTATGTTTCCTTCTTATGCTTTTTTTTATTTTTTTCGAGTCCAGCTTTGAATATTTTTTTGGTAAATAATTTTTTTATGAGAACACGTCATGCAAAATTTAATAAAAATAAATTTTTAAAAATTCATTTGGAAGCTGGACTTTTTTTAAATTTTTCTATCCAGGGTTGCCTCTATTTTTTACTTTGTTTTTGAAATCGAGTTGAGTGTCGTTTGTGGTTATAAGAAATTTAAGAGTGTTGGAGTGTTTTGTTGGGCAACCCTGTTTATTCTTTTAAATATTTTTTGATTAAATCACTGGCCCTCTCTACTAGGATACAAATTTTCTCTCTCTCAATATTAAGATTTTCTTTTTAATTTTTTTGTAGAATATTGACCAAGGAACTCCACAAAATCCTATATTACTTACCAATAATAACCAAGATGTCCAAAACAAAGAAGAAGATAACCACAAATCTTCTTCTATTACCAAAACAAAAAATGATTTACATAATAAGTGTAATCTTATCAATTTAAATATTGATAATGATGTAATTGGATATCCTATATTAAAAACCAAAAAGCGTTATTTATTAACTTGTTCTTCTTCAAATAATGGTGGTGGTTGTGTTGCTGGTACTTCTTCTACTTTAAATGATAATAATATTGATGATGATGTTGTTGTTGATGGTGGAGGAGGAGGAGGGGTATTTAATAATTCAAAGGAGTCAAGATCTTGTGTTGATTCAAAGGTTACCTTTTTTTAAAGTTTTGTTGTTGTTGTGGATGTGTGAAGTAGTTTGGTTTTACGGCTGTCTTCTTTTTAGTTTTTTCGAGTTCTCTTTGTTTTTGTTTTTATTTATTTTTACATTAAAAATTTGTTCTCTTTTTTTTTCAGTATCGCAGCAAAATGATCAAATTTGCACGTTCTCGAATTCATGGATGGGGGTTGTTCTCTTTGGTAATTAATTGTTTCATTATTTTTTTTTTAAATTCAATTTTTTTAGGAAGCTATAGCTCCCGATGAAATGATCGTCGAATATATTGGTGAAAAAATTCGACCAGAAGTTGCAAATGTGCGCGAATTGGCTTATGAAAAACAAGGAATTGGTTCTTCATATTTATTTAGAATTGATGAAAATGTTGTGAGTTTTTTTTTGTAATTTTTTGAGAATTTTTTTGAAAATTTTATTTTTTATTAAGGTAATTGATGCCACCAAGAAGGGCAATTTTGCTCGGTTTATCAACCATTCGTGCCAGCCAAATTGTTATGCAAAAGTTTTGACTGTTCAAGGTGAAAAGAGGATTGTAATTTACAGCAAGCGATTTATTCAGAAGGGAGAAGAGATTACGGTTAGTGAGAAAAAATTTTTTTTGGGTTTTTATTGTTGATGGGATCTTTCTCAGATTATCCCAAACATTTTTAGTAAATGGGCAAAAATAGGAAGCATTTGACCTGAAATTGGTCCAATATATGTGGTGGGTTGTGTGAACGGCTTGATCCAATTTAAAGTCTTTTATGATTTTCAGTTCAGCTTGGTGATAAGAGTCGAACCATACTTTTACCCAATTGGTAACCTGCCCCCTTTATTCTCTTATTTAACTTTGCCATTTATTCATTCAGAAAAATTTATTTTTAACATTTTCAGTATGACTACAAATTTCCTCTTGAAGATGTAAAAATTCCTTGCCTTTGTGGTGCTTCTCAATGTCGTGGATACCTCAATTAAATTATGTTTCCTTTTTTCGTTTGTTTGTATTTTTTACCTTGATTTTACGTTAGTTTTCTTTCATTTCAATAAAAGTAGTTCTCGGTGCCTATATTACAAATAAATTTAAAATATTGAGGGAATATTAGTGAACTTGTATTTTCTTTGTTTTCTCTTCAATTTTTAGGTACTTGGTAAGGGGGCCTGAAAAAAATTTTTTATCCCAAGTTTCCCTTGCTAGCAGAAAGCATGATGTTTGTGACCCTTTTGAGTCTTGACCCATCTTTATAATCAAAATAAAATTTTCTGTCGAAACAATTGCCAAGTACTTTATTTTCTTTCGAATTAAGTAAGCCAAAAAAATAGGAATATAAAAAATATATATTATGTACTGCCAATCTTTATCTTTCATTCACTCAATAATTTGATTTGTTTTTACAAAAATTTTCAAAATTTTTGTTTGTTTTTCTCATTATTTATGTATTCTCTGATTTGTATTTTTTCCTTTTACTTTTATTATATGTATTTAAAAGCCAAAAATTTGTCCAAAAAATATATACATTATATATGCTCCAATAATTACCCTGGACCTCTAAAAGGGAGGGGCTAGTTTACGAGTTTTCTGGAAGGACTAATTAAATAGGAAGAGGCTAGTTATTTGAGTGAGGGTAATTATTATTCTAGAGTATGTGTATAAAAAATTAACTTTATTTTTTTTTGACGATAAATCTTTAAAAAAACTTTTTATTAAATCAATATTTTCTAAATGCTAATTAAATGCATGTTTTATATTTTTGTTTTTAAATTTAGTTTTAACTTTTTAATTATTTTTTAAAATCAGTTTCCATTTAATACAACAAGTAAAGGGAGTGGACCAGCAAAAAATCAATATTTATGCAGAAGATGTTCTACAAAAAGCTTCGAGTTTGTTGGACGCTTGTGGAGGAAAAATTTGTTGGTTTGTAATTTTTTGAATAAAGTTTTTTTTCGGATAGTCCGAAGAAGATTCGCAAAAAATTTCGTATCCGTTAAACAATCCACAATTTTTTTCGAATAGTCTGCAGAAAAACTGCTTGAATTTTCTTTTTTAAGGATCTATTTATTGTTTATAAACATATTCCTCTACTTTAAAAATCGAAATTTTTTTTAAAAATAAATTATTTTTAAGGCTCTTACATGCTCAACAACGGAATCAAACCCATTCGACAACACATAGCCAAAGTTGTTTTCGGAGCGATGGAATTGTTTGTGATCCTGTCAATGTTTGCATGGTGCTTCAGTATCTATTAGGGTTTCTTTTTTTTTAAAAATTGTATGAAAAATAGGGGACAAATCCGCAAATTTTTGGGACCAAGTTTCTAAACATTTTCAATTTTTTTTTTTCTAGAACGCCAACATCAACAGTTCTTCAACAACAACTTTCGACATCTTCAACATTAACTAAAGTCCCCCTGCCTTGTGCAGGGGGCAACTCAAGTCCCCCTGCCTTGTGCAGGGGGCAACTCAAGTCCCCCTGCCTTGTGCAGGGGGCAACTCAAGTCCCCCTGCCTTGTGCAGGGGGCAACTCAAGTCCCCCTGCCTTGTGCAGGGGGCAACTCAAGTCCCCCTGCCTTGTGCAGGGGGCAACTCAAGTCCCCCTGCCTTGTGCAGGGGGCAACTCAAGTCCCCCTGCCTTGTGCAGGGGGCAACTCAAGTCCCCCTGCCTTGTGCAGGGGGCAACTCAAGTCCCCCTGCCTTGTGCAGGGGGCAACTCAAGTCCCCCTGCCTTGTGCAGGGGGCAACTCAAGTCCCCCTGCCTTGTGCAGGGGGCAACTCAAGTCCCCCTGCCTTGTGCAGGGGGCAACTCAAGTCCCCCTGCCTTGTGCAGGGGGCAACTCAAGTCCCCCTGCCTTGTGCAGGGGGCAACTCAAGTCCCCCTGCCTTGTGCAGGGGGCAACTCAAGTCCCCCTGCCTTGTGCAGGGGGCAACTCAAGTCCCCCTGCCTTGTGCAGGGGGCAACTCAAGTCCCCCTGCCTTGTGCAGGGGGCAGAAATTTTGGTGTGTCCATGTGCCGTTTTATACATTGGACCTGCCCCCTGCTTAGGAGGCTTTTAATTTAAAAAATATTTACCCGGTTAATCTTTGATCCCTGCTGTCTAATACAAGGGATAAAATGTTTCTGTTGTTTAATTCTAATAGCGATTATTGGTCTTCATATTACCATTATTCTTTTCGGATTATTCATGTTTCTGTTCCCCACGTTCTTTTGAAATTCATGGTCCAAATTATTCCACAGTGTCAACGTTGAAAAGGCAGAAGGAATTAAACAACATAAACATTTTAATTATCAAACAGAAGGTTTAGTTGAGAATTACTAGCCTTTTATTAACAATAATGAAGTTGTAATAATGTCTTTGCTAAGTCTGATACATCAAAAAATGGACGTCGTCGAATCAGTGGTAGCAGTTAAAAATCGGTTGTATTTGATTATTTATAAAATAAATTTATTTATTTAGCAATTCGGAGGCTGAATTAAGTTCGATTTAAATTTAAATACAATAATTTTTATACTATTTGTTACATTTTTTTCGTTTTTAATTTATTGACATGATTTTTTTTTATATATTTTTTTATTTGATTTCGTTTTTTATTGTTTTTTGACTTGACTCGCGCCATCAAGGCGCAAATAAATAAATGAAAAGCTAATTATTTTATTATTATTCTCTACATATCTTTTCTTGAGTCTAAGGCATACCATAAATAAAGGAAAAATTGGTTCCACTCCTTACAGAAAAAAAATGCAAGAAAAGGATGAAATTAAAAGTATGTGGAATCAAGGGGAATAACGAAGGATTTTATGGATTAAGAGGATATCGAGAGATTTGAGAGGATTTCTAATCGAAACAAAATAAAAAAATATTCCCCTAAATCTGTCAATATTTATTTATTTATTTACGCCTTGATGGCGCGAGTCATGTCAAAAAAATATTCCTTTAGATATGCTGATATCCTATTTAATCCCAAATCCATCGATGTCTATCAAAATACTCGGTTTCCGGGCTACCGGGCCCGGCAAACCCGGTCCCGGCAAAGGTGTCGAATCTAATAAAATTTATATTTATTTTCATTCTATAGGTTTAAATTGATTCGGTGAATGTAATACTTTTTAGGAAAAATATTCCTTCCAAAAGACCCATTCCTGGATTAATCCGATCCGGAAAATTGTAGTTTTAGAGTTTTCGGTCTTGAACTCCTTGGACAGCTCTAGTTCAAACATAAGTTAAAAATTCAGTTATCCGATTTTTATAAACCTTAAATTTAATATATAATCAAGAAATCAAGGCAAGAATCATAATTAATTTTTACTTGATTCTAGGTCAAAAATCCTGTCAACGTCCTCAACGAATATCAAGTCTCAGGGCAGAGATGTTTTTAAATATCCGATCCTTAATTAATTAATTTTATCTTGATGTTAAAATCTTTTATTAAATTCTAAAATTTAATTTTAGAATTTCATTATTTATTTTTAATTTAATTTTAAACCTATAAAATGAGTTTAAAATTATAAAATTTTTTTGATCAAAAGCGATAAAGTTGAACTTTCAAAATCTTTTAAAATTTTGAAATCGCCACAAATTGACCGAAAAATAATATCCACACTTTTAAAAAGTTTTGTTTGTTTTAAATGAAAAAATTTGTGTGATATTCATAAAAGAGAGTTGTGGGTTAGTTTACCCGCAGCTGTGGGAAATCGAGTTATGGGTCGTAAGAGTTAACCCTCAACTAAGAGTTCTATTACTCGGATAAGAGAATCAGCTAAATTTACCAGGTTCTCCAACCCGCTTTTTTGAATACCACCACAGGGCGCTAATTAGTTATAAAAACAACAAAAGCTATGAGATAATCTTTTCGTTGATTTTTTCAATTTTTTATCAAGTTTTTGGAAAATATTAATTTTATATGTGGATTTTAAATTTTTTTGAAATAATCAATTTTTTCGATTAAACTGCGAAAATCCAATTCATTCAGCATCACAAGTCCATTGCTGATCAGTTAATCCAATGTAGTCGGGTAAGCAGATCTAGAATAATTACGTGCTTTATAATTTCCCTTTTTCTCACCACAAGTTCCCCATATTGTACTTGAATAATCCAACGATTTATTGTTTAATTTGGCATCCCTAATTGCTCTTTAAAAAAATCGAAAAGGTTCATCGTAGCTGGCAATTATTGCCTCAAAAATGAAATTTAGAAATTTATTAAAAATCATTGTACCTCAAGCATGTTATACATCGATATTATACATACATACCATCTAAAATAGCCACCCTCTAGAGAACGATCGAAAAAAATAACCCATGGGGTTATTTTAGAGAAAATACGGTATATCAAATTAGTACTTACAGTAACAATTTTCGCTTATTAGTTATAAAAATAACAAAAACTATCAGATAATCTATTCGTTCATTTTTTAAATTTTTTATCAAGTTTTTGGAAAATAATAATTTTATAAGTGGATTTTAAATTTTCTTTGAAATAATCCATCTTTTCTATTAAACTTTAAAATCCAATTCATTCATAGTCACAAGTCCATTCTGAAATTCAAACAAAAATTTTCCAAACCAGAAAAAAAGCGCGCCTAATCGGGCTGTACCTTTCAAATCCGGCCCAGGTCAATAAATCAAACCCAGAGCCCAGGAACATGCCCAGGCTTTTAAAAATCATGAGCAAACTAGATGGGTTAACAATAGATGACAGACCAGTTTGCCCAGAATTTCTACAAAAATTTCAAAAATAACCGCCAAAAGTCAAAAAGCCCTCCAAAAATTGTTAAGAAAAAAATTTTAAAGGAGTCCATAAATTAAAAAACAAGTCAAATAAGCAAAAATTTATCAAAAAAAATCACTAAAAAGTCAATGTCTCGTTTCACTCATTAGATTTGTGGCCCTAAAGAGGGCCGTTTGGGTTGTGGCCCCCTGCACAAGGCAGGGGGACTTGAGTTGCCCCCTGCACAAGGCAGGGGGACTTGAGTTGCCCCCTGCACAAGGCAGGGGGACTTGAGTTGCCCCCTGCACAAGGCAGGGGGACTTGAGTTGCCCCCTGCACAAGGCAGGGGGACTTGAGTTGCCCCCTGCACAAGGCAGGGGGACTTGAGTTGCCCCCTGCACAAGGCAGGGGGACTTGAGTTGCCCCCTGCACAAGGCAGGGGGACTTGAGTTGCCCCCTGCACAAGGCAGGGGGACTTGAGTTGCCCCCTGCACAAGGCAGGGGGACTTGAGTTGCCCCCTGCACAAGGCAGGGGGACTTGAGTTGCCCCCTGCACAAGGCAGGGGGACTTGAGTTGCCCCCTGCACAAGGCAGGGGGACTTGAGTTGCCCCCTGCACAAGGCAGGGGGACTTGAGTTGCCCCCTGCACAAGGCAGGGGGACTTGAGTTGCCCCCTGCACAAGGCAGGGGGACTTGAGTTGCCCCCTGCACAAGGCAGGGGGACTTGAGTTGCCCCCTGCACAAGGCAGGGGGACTTGAGTTGCCCCCTGCACAAGGCAGGGGGACTTGAGTTGCCCCCTGCACAAGGCAGGGGGACTTGAGTTGCCCCCTGCACAAGGCAGGGGGACTTGAGTTGCCC